CCCCAAAAACCATTTATAGCCATTTCTAAAGTGAAATCCTGTTCTTTACAATCACGTGTCTGCGTTGCTCCGTCTGGTGGAAGCACAGGGAGCTCTGACTACAGACACTGCTCCCTCTGGTGGAAGCACAGGGAGCTCTGACTACAGACACTGCTCCCTCTGGTGGAAGCACAGGGAGTTACAGGGAGCTCTGACTACAGACACTGCTCCCTCTGGTGGTATCACAGGGAGCTCTGACTACAGACACTGCTCCCTCTGGTGATAGTGACAGGGAGCTCTGACTACAGACACTGCTCCCTCTGGTTGTTGCAGGTGTAGACTGCAGACTTCAAAAACAAATTTGTCACATTATGTTTTTAAAGGACAAAAATAATACATTCTATTTCTCCTTTAACTCTCACTGCACTTTACCATCAACTATAACAACATCAGGTCAAATATTCACACGAGACACGAGAGAGACCAGAGAGAGACCAGAGAGAGAGACCAGAGAGAGACCAGAGCGAGACCAGAGAGAGACCAGAGAGAGACCAGAGAGAGACCAGAGCGAGACCAGAGAGAGACCAGAGAGAGACCAGAGAGAGACCTGAGAGAGAGACCAGAGAGAGACCTGAGAGAGAGACCAGAGAGAGACCTGAGAGAGAGACCTGAGAGAGAGACCAGAGAGAGACCTGAGAGAGAGACCAGAGAGAGACCAGAGAGAGACCAGAGAGAGACCAGAGAGAGACCAGAGAGAGACCTGAGAGAGAGACCAGAGAGAGACCTGAGAGAGAGACCAGAGAGAGACCTGAGAGAGAGACCTGAGAGAGAGACCAGAGAGAGACCTGAGAGAGAGACCAGAGAGAGACCTGAGAGAGAGACCTGAGAGAGAGACCAGAGAGAGAGACCAGAGAGAGACCAGAGAGAGACCTGAGAGAGACCAGAGAGAGACCAGAGAGAGACCAGAGAGAGGCTAGCTCCATGGTCTCTCATCAGTGAGTTATTATCACAGACGTTTGAAGTTAGAAACTGAAGCATCATTTCCTCTCATCAGGTGAGGCACAGTCTGCTGCACATTCACACGTCACATGGTCCTCCAACCATCAACAAGTCACGGGACCGAGAGGAAGTATGTTTGAGAGAGTATGTTTAAGAGAGTATGTTTGAGAGAGTATGTTAGAGAGAGTATGTTTCAGAGAGTATGTTAGAGAGAGTATGTTTCAGAGAGTATGTTCGTGAGAGTATATTTGAGAGAGTATATTTGAGAGAGTATGTATGAGAGAGTATGTTTAAGATAGTATGTTTGAGAGGGTATGTTTAAGAGAGTATGTTTGAGAGAGTATGTTTGAGAGAGTATGTTTGAGAGAGTATGTTAGAGAGAGTATGTTTGAGAGAGTATGTTTAAGAGAGTATGTTAGAGAGAGTATGTTTGCGAGAGTATGTTTAAGAGAGTATGTTAGAGAGAGTATGTTAGAGAGAGTATGTTTGAGAGAGTGTGTTTGAGAGAGTATGTTTGAGAGAGTATGTTTGAGAGAGTATTTTAGAGAGAGTATGTTAGAAAGAGTATGTTTGAGAGAGTATGTTAGAGAGAGTATGTTAGAGAGAGTATGTTAGAGAGAGTATGTTTAGGGAGTATGTTTGAGAGAGTGTGTTTGAGAGAGTATGTTTGAGAGAGTATGTTTGAGAGAGTATGTTAGAGAGAGTATGTTAGAGAGAGTATGTTAGAGAGAGTATGTTTGTGTACGGACCACAGGAAACAAAGGATTTTTTTTTCTCCATTTCCATTTCTACTTCACCAACTGACGTTGGTAATTTCATGTTTTCCTCTTCTACATGGATTGAACAGAGTTGGGCAAAGTGTGGCCCGAGAGCCACATCCGGTCTCACCCACATTTCTATTCGGCCGCCGGACCCTCCACAGTTGTAAACCTCACACCAGTGTGTTAGGCGGCTGTTGCAGATTTGCAACAATTTAATTTCTTTTTACTCCAAACTACTTTTTTACTCTGCTGGACTGAGCTTTAGCAACACACAGTTCTCCACCTGTCCACCAGGGGGCGGAGCTGTCTCACTTCCAAAATGTCAGTCTCTGTGGTTTTCACAAAACAGATTTTCTAGGCGTCAATTTCAAGTCAGTTTCACGACCGACCTCTGATAATGTGAAACCAAAACTGCACACAATTAAAGATGAATAAATGTAGATACAGTACATATATAGATACAGTACATATATATATATATATACAGTACATATATAGGTACAGTACATATATATATATACAGTACATATATAGGTACAGTACGTATATATATATACAGTACATATATAGATACAGTACATATATAGATACAGTACATATATAGATACAGTACATATATAGGTACAGTACATATATAGATACAGTACATATATAGGTACAGTACATATATAGATACAGTACATATATAGGTACAGTACATATATAGATACAGTACATATATTTATATATACAGTACATATATATATATATATATACAGTACATATATAGATACAGTACATATATAGATACAGTACATATATAGATACAGTACATATATATATATACAGTACATATATAGATACAGTACATATATAGGTACAGTACATATATAGATACAGTACATATATAGGAACAGTACATATATAGATACAGTACATATATAGATACAGTACATATATAGGTACAGTACATATATAGGTACAGAACGTATATATATACAGTACATATATAGATACAGTACATATATAGATACGGTACATATATAGGTACAGTACATATATAGGTACAGAACGTATATATATACAGTACATATATAGATACAGTACATATATAGGTACAGTACATATATAGATACAGTACATATATAGGTACAGTACATATATAGATACAGTACATATATATATATATACAGTACATATATAGATACAGTACATATATAGGTACAGTACATATATAGATACAGTACATATATAGATACAGTACATATATAGATACAGTACATATATAGATACAGTACATATATATATATATATACAGTACATATATAGGTACAGTACATATATAGATACAGTACATATATATATATATATATATATATATATATATATATATATATATATATATATACAGTACATATATAGGTACAGTACATATATAGATACAGTACATATATATATATATATATACAGTACATATATAGGTACAGTACATATATAGATACAGTACATATATAGAACATGTCAATTAGTAGATTATATCTTCTCTGGGTTTTTCCCTCAGCTCCATTTACCACAGCTGGCCCATGTTGCATATCTGCAACATCCCAGAATGCATTGCCTATGAGGGTCTCTCTTTAAAAAAAATGTCAGGATTGCATATCACTAACCCATATGATCATCTTCATACACAAATGTAATATAAACCGTGTGAAACTGGGTCTGGCCAATCACAACAGGGCGGTATCCCAGTGTGAACATCTGGAAACAATGTGTTTCATTTAAGATCACAGATATTCACAGAAAAGAAACATCAAGATTCTGTTTAAACGTCTTGACTTTACTAACTGCACTGATTTTAATAATTATACTGATTTTACTACTCTGGGTTTGTACAAAGCGCGTGTGGGGATACAGCAGTGCATTCTGGGAATATCTCTGCTGCTGGCCTCAACACTGGCCTTTTCTTCAGAAACAGTCACTATTCATCTGAAAGAACAATACTCCGTCTTTATCCAAACAGAAAGATCCGAGCGCCGCTCACAAAACGGAATAAATTGTTCCAAAATCTGAATAATTCATGAGACGCCACTTGGATAAAATAATAAATATTAAAACAACAACTCTCTGCATTTAAAGTGGTTTTTCAATTAGGAAAAGGTCCGCCTGAAATCTAATTAGTTTACTCAAGTCAAGTCAGTTTAATTCACAGCAGTAGTTTATCTCTGAGGACTTCACAAAACAACACAGATTAGAGAATCAAACTGCTCAAACACAGGAAATGCAGTGTTGATAAAGTCCATAAATGTGGATTAATGTCGAGTTAATCTGATTCTTTCACCGTGTTTTTAGTCGCGTTTCTACTGCAGGAACTTCGGGGTCATTTTCCAGGGCCAGCCCCGTCGGTCTCCACTGCAGGAACTTCCCCACAGGGCCATTTACAGGAACTTTTACGGGGCCCAACAGTCCCTCCTCCATTGGGCCCTGGCCGGACTTGAGGTTAACCCTAGCGCAGATTCAGACGCCAGCACCAAAACAACCGGCATTAACCTAGCAGCATTAGCCCAGAAGCATTAGCCCAGCAGCATTAGCCTAGCAGCATTAGCCCAGCAGCATTAGCCCAGAAGCATTAGGGTCGGCACTAGATCATATACGGAATCGGGACAAAACCGGAAGTAACAATCCTTTTTTCAAATTAGTTTTAGACTAAAAAGTCCTTAAGTGGTGACTGGTTAAGTTTAACCAGAGTAAGATGGTTAAGTTTAGGGTTAAGGCTGGGTTGGGGTTATTTTATGGGAATGGCTGGTTAAGTTTAGGCATGAATAGTTGGTTTGTTATATTTCCTTCCGCTTCCGTCCCGATTCCGTATATGATCTAGTGCTGACTGAAGCATTAGCCCAGAAGAATTATCCCAGAAGCATTAGCCCAGCAGCATTAGCCCAGAAGCATTAGCCCAGAAGCATTAGCCCAGAAGCATTAGCCCAGAAGCATTAGCCCAGAAGCATTAGCCCAGAAGCATTAGCCCAGAAGCATTAGCCCAGAAGCATTAGCCCAGAAGCATTAGCCCAGAAGCATTAGCCTAGCAGACACCACCGGAAACAGCGAACAACAGCACAGCATGATTCAGACGGGGTTTGAGGGTTTGAGGGTTTGAGGGTTTGAGGGTTTGAGGGTTTGAGGGTTTGAGGGTTTGAGGGTTTGAGGGTTTGAGGGTTTGAGGCATCACGGCCAAATGAAAAGATATATTTAGACATGTCAGCTTCACCTCGAGGCACTGGGGATTCATCACACTAAAACAAGCGTGAAACCACAGAGAGGACCACAGAGAGGACCACTGAGAGAGAGGACCACAGAGAGGACCACAAAGAGGACCACTGAGAGGACCACAGAGAGGACCACAGAGAGGACCACAAAGAGGACCACAGAGAGGACCACTGAGAGGACCACTGAGAGGACCACAAAGAGGACCACAGAGAGGACCACTGAGAGGACCACTGAGAGGACCACAGAGACGACCACAAAGAGGACCACAGAGAGGATCACAGAGAGGACCACAGAGAGGACCACTGAGAGGACCACAGAGAGGACCACAAAGAGGACCACAGAGAGGACCACTGAGAGGACCACAGAGAGGACCACAGAGAGGACCACAGAGAGGACCACAGAGACGACCACAAAGAGGACCACAGAGAGGACCACAGAGAGGACCACTGAGAGGACCACAGAGAGGACCACAGAGACGACCACAAAGAGGACCACAGAGAGGACCACAGAGAGGACCACTGAGAGGACCACAGAGAGGACCACTGAGAGGACCACAGAGAGGACCACAGAGAGGACCACAGAGAGGACCACAGAGAGGACCACAGAGACGACCACAAAGAGGACCACTGAGAGGACCACAGAGAGGACCACTGAGAGGACCACAGAGAGGACCACAAAGAGGACCACTGAGAGGACCACAGAGAGGACCACTGAGAGGACCACAGAGAGGACCACAGAGACGACCACAAAGAGGACCACAGAGAGGACCACAGAGAGGACCACTGAGAGGACCACAGAGAGGACCACGGAGACGACCACAAAGAGGACCACAGAGAGGACCACAGAGAGGACCACAGAGAGGACCACTGAGAGGACCACAGAGAGGACCACAGAGAGGACCACAGAGAGGACCACAGAGAGGACCACAGAGAGGACCACAGAGAGGACCACAGAGAGGACCACAGAGAGGACCACAGAGACGACCACTGAGAGGACCACTGAGAGGACCACTGAGAGGACCACTGAGAGGCCCACTGAGAGGACCACTGAGAGGACCACAGAGAGGACCACAGAGAGGACCACAGAGAGGACCACAGAGAGGACCACTGAGAGGACCACAGAGAGGACCACTGAGAGGACCACAGAGAGGACCACAGAGAGGACCACTGAGAGGCCCACTGAGAGGACCACTGAGAGGACCACAGAGAGGACCACTGAGAGGACCACAGAGAGGACCACTGAGAGGACCACAGAGAGGACCACAGAGAGGACCACTGAGAGGCCCACTGAGAGGACCACTGAGAGGACACAGTTCAACTTGACAAGAGGCACAAACTGACAACACCGCCTTCTATGAATAAACCAGAAAATGTGGAATTATGCGTTATAGTTGACCCAGAGTTTAGAGATTAAAGATGTCTGAGTTTAGAGATTAAAGACGTCTGAGTTTAGAGATTGGAGATGGCAGAGGGCAGAGTGATGTCCAGGGCCTTGCCAAGATAAGATAGAGATCCGTTATTTATCCCACAGTGGGGAAATTCCAGTGTTGCTGCGCACCAACAGGACAGTAGTAAGACACAGGGAGCACACAATAAGCTAAGTTTAGGTTCCTTAGCTTTAGCTCCAGAGTTCAGGAAGCTCCGTCTTCTTCTGAGGTTTGGTTGTTCTTTGGACACACATTATTGCGTCTCCAGAAAACCACAATAAAACACAACAGTCGTAAATCTACACATCCGCCCTTTAATTTATCTGTATTTCATCATTTTTAATTTCATTTCTTAATCAGAGCCAGGTCCTAAACTTTGTACGAGACTGGAACATACGACCACAAACTTTTACAGTAACATGGGATTTATAAACATTTAACAACATTGTGTTTCTTCCAGAGTCAGAACTAAACATGGGGAGGCTGCTTTTCAGATTCATGCTGCTAAAATCTGGAACAGTCTTCCTGAAGATGTGAGACAGGCCTCCTCTCTGACAATGTTTAAAACCAGGTTAAAGACAGTTCTGTTTAGCTGTGCTACAACTGAGGGATTTTATATTTTTATCTTTATAATGTTCTGTGATTATTTATGATTTTAATGCTTTCTTATTTTGTCTTCTCGTGACCCGGCAACGGATGAAGCGGAAGAAAATGGATGGATGGCATTTCCTGTGTGTGAACAGTTTGATTCTCTGATCTGTTGTTGGAGAATCGACCTCTACTGGTCTCAAAGTCACTGCTGTTACAAGCACAAGCTGCAGTTATAGAGCAAGACTTAAAGGTACAGTCAATCATCGAGACTATTGGTTCTTCTAACTGTCAATCATTCTGCTCGTCCAATAAGATCAGAGGGTTTGGTTCAAAAAGTGGAGAGGGCGGGGAAACTGATCAAAATAAACTTTTAATTAAGGATTTATCGACCGAACTTCGAAACTACATGAAAATCCAAATCCAATCCATCTCTGGTTAGACTGCTGCCCCCGCGACCCGGCAACGGATGAAGCGGAAGAAAATGTACGGACGTATTTATCTCCTCGCTCTCACTTTTATCACTAGTTTTTGCATGTTCTCTCTCTCGCCCTGTGTCAAAATTTTAAAACTGCTTTTTCAGACAGAGAAGTGAGAAAGAGCGGACCCTCCTCCCTCAGCCAATCAGCACGCAGTACGTACAGCAGGCATGTCCAAATTCAGGCCCACGATCCAATTGCGGTCCTCTGCGTCCTTTTACGTGGCCCTCTGCTGCTGGCACTTTGACAGCATCATCCAGCCAACTTCAGCTCCACCAAGACAGTCATGCTGTGCCTTATTGTAAATCTCATCTCTTTATGATTGTGTCACAACATTCCAAATAAAATGCAGCTGTGAATCAATAAGGACGTATCAAAACCTATTTTAAATACAGAATCCAGCTTCAATCCAGTTTGTAATCCAGTTTGTAATCCAGGTCAAGTCTGCTGAACAAAATTGGCTCTTACTAAAAAGTTTGGACACCCCTGATGTAACGATCAAAGGTTTTCTAACACAATGGTTCATGAGAGTTTCTTGAAGGAGATTTCCCTTTGAGCCTGTGTCGGTGAAACTAATGGATACAAGAAGCTAAATGGAAAATAAACTCTTGTATCTTGTAAATATGACATTACACTTGTTATAATCTGTGGCTCGCAGATTAAAAAACATCTTAAAAAAGTAAAATATCTCAGAAGAAATTAAATCTTCAGCAAAAACATCACGATTATAACAAACAAAAGCTTGACCTAAACTTTTTCTCGAATGAAGAGTCTGTGTCGGTTTCACAAATTAATCTTAATCTTAATCTTAATCTACTTCAATTTAAGACGCTCCTATGGTCCCACAGCGGGGAAAGTTCAGTGTTGCATCAGTGACAGAACAGTAGGATGGAAGAGCACACAGCCCACCATAATGAACAATAACTCTGTAGTAGAATAAAATTAGACAAATCTGTAACTTTAGCCTAAAAACGGTAAATATAAAATCTCCATCTTTAGTCTGAGGAAGAACAAGACGTTTACAACAACCAAAAATACAAAAATTTTAGGTAGTGGAAAAGGTCGGAGCTCCCTGTTTGTCAAGTCAGCCTTCAGGTTGTTGGGTCGCAGCCCTCAGAGCAGCCCACACTACAGAACAAATGATCAAGTGTTTTTCATCTTTCAGCACTAGAGGTTTTTTACAGAACAGATAAAAGGTGGATTCACTGAACGACTCAAACCAACGACAGAAAATCATTAAATAAAACAAAGCAAACAAGAAAAGTCGCTGCTTCTGTTTCCACATTCCCAAAACGATCAAATGTGAGGTCGAGGGGTTTTGGTTTTAATCCGACACATTGTGACTGTGTTAAAACCACATTCTGAACGAGACACTTCTGTCCCGTTGGAGAATCTAGTTTTAGACACATTATTCCTCCCCACTGCTGTCAGACTGTACAACAAGTCACTTCAAGTCACTGCATTAAGACTGAAAAAACCTGCGCTACTATTGACACTGTTTCTCAATCGTCACTTTTATTGTACATAATATCCTGCATTTAACATGTTGCACATTTCTTACTTTTTGCCCAATCTGAGTGTTTCTACCATGATGTGACATTTCTCCTGTGTGAGATCAATAAAGTCTATCTGATCTGAGCTGATCTGATCTGATCTGATCTGAGCTGATCTTACTTTCTGCTGTCCAAAGCCTGAGGAGAGAATACTCACTGTCCAGGGAGAGCATGGAGTCAAAGATCTTGCACTGCACCTGCCCCGTGCTCTGGGAGGCGCAGCTCATCCACAGCCCCTCGTACAGACCCACGGCCGTGATGATGGCGTCTCCTGCGTACGACGACTGCTTCCACTGGGGCAGCGCCGTCGTGGAGATCACCCCGATCCATCCGCCCAGCGCCAGGAAGTAGCCCAGCAGCTGCAGACCCGAGTTAGCCATGGCTCCTTATGTCAGGACGGAGAAAAACTTTGGTTCAGAGTCAAAAACGAGAGAGCAAAACACACTGGGAATCCTGTTTTTCTATCACAGTGAGGTCCGTCTAAGCATCTCCTGCCCCTACTCTCATCCGATTCTACCGCTGTGTGTACGTCCCTCTGGGTTTGTCCTGTTTGTCCTGCTTTGTCCTGCTTTGTCCTGCTTTGTGCTCCCAAAAAGAACAATGTTATGAGGGTTTCTCGGTGGTTTCTCTCTGCATGGCTTCGTCCAATCCTTGTGCTGCTCTCTCACAGTAATCTTTCCATCTGCTGCAGCCTCAAGTGGCTCTGACGGCGGGGAAGAGAAGGAAAAAAATGTTTGAATAGAAAAAAAATCTCGACAAGCGACCCACAAAGGGCTGGGGTGAGGGTCAGCGCCCGATTGGTGGATTAGCGGCCGGAGAGACGCCCAGTGGGAGGGGGCAGAGATGGGTCAGGTTGGAAAGAATGAAGCGGATTAGCTGCAAAAGTCAAAACAACAAATGGAAGAAAGAAAGTTACATTTAGTTTGTGTCGAGGAGAAAAGGACATTCTCTCAGACCAAGCTCGAGTGACACAAAAGTGAGACAAAAATTGCTAAAAAGTTGACAAAATGTATCTTAACTTGAGCTCATTCCGCTTTAAAGGTGCTCTGTGTAATGTTACAGTTGCTTCAAATGAAAACACATTTTAACCAAAAACCTCCATCATGTTTTTGAATTATCGCCATCGACTCAGAATGTGACTCATAAACGTCTGAGGCGGAGGACTCTCTGTGTGAAGCCGCCATCTTGGAATACAGAGGCTGAAGAGGGACAAAAAGGAGTGTGCCACAGCTGCCCTGGGGCACACTGACAGAAGCCCCTCCCACCAACCATTCACACACACACCAGACTCATTCTAATGTGGGGGAAGTGTCTTGCCAAAGGACACAACCACAGTTTGGCACTTTACAGCCGCAGCCGCCCCACTGTGGCACCTGGTGTGTGTGTTGGTCTGATGTGTGTTGGTCTGATGTGTGTGTCGGTCTGATGTGTGTTGGTCTGATGTGTGTTGGTCTGTTGTGTGTGTTGGTCTGATGTGTGTTGGTCTGATGTGTGTTGGTCTGTTGTGTGTGTCGGTCTGATGTGTGTGTTGGTCTGTTGTGTGTGTTGGTCTGATGTGTGTTGGTCTGATGTGTGTGTCGGTCTGATGTGTGTGTGGGTAGATGTGTGTGTTGGTCTGTTGTGTGTGTCGGTCTGATGTGTGTGTTGGTCTGAGGTGTGTGTTGGTCTGTTGTGTGTGTCGGTCTGATGTGTGTGTCGGTCTGATGTGTGTGTTGGTCTGAGGTGTGTGTTGGTCTGGTGTGTGTGTTGGTCTGTTGTGTGTGTTGGTCTGATGTGTGTTGGTCTGATGTGTGTGTTGGTCTGTTGTGTGTGTTGGTCTGAGGTGTGTGTTGGTCTGTGTGTGTGTTGATGTGTGTGTGTTGGTCTGTGTGTGTGTTGGTCTGATGTGTGTCGGTCGGTCTGATGTGTGTGTTGGTCTGATGTGTGTGTCGGTCTGTTGTGTGTGTTGGTCTGATGTGTGTGTTGGTCTGTTGTGTGTCGGTCTGTTGTGTGTGTTGGTCTGTTGTGTGTGTTGGTCTGATGTGTGTGTCGGTCTGATGTGTGTGTCGGTCTGTTGTGTGTGTTGGTCTGTTGTGTGTGTCGGTCTAATGTGTGTGTTGGTCTGTTGTGTGTGTTGGTCTGATGTGTGTGTCGGTCTGATGTGTGTGTCGGTCTGTTGTGTGTGTTGGTCTGTTGTGTGTGTCGGTCTAATGTGTGTGTTGGTCTGTTGTGTGTGTTGGTCTGATGTGTGTGTTGGTCTGATGTGTGTGTTGGTCTGATGTGTGTGTTGGTCTGATGTGTGTGTTGGTCTGATGTGTGTGTCGGTCTGATGTGTGTGTCGGTCTGTTGTGTGTGTCGGTCTGTTGTGTGTGTTGGTCTGTTGTGTGTGTTGGTCTGTTGTGTGTGTTGGTCTGTTGTGTGTGTTGTCTGTCTTGTGTGTGTTGGTCTGTTGTGTGTGTGGGTCTGATGTGTGTGTCGGTCTGTTGTGTGTGTCGGTCTGTTGTGTGTGTTGGTCTGATGTGTGTGTTGGTCTGATGTGTGTGTCGGTCTGATGTGTGTGTTGGTCTGATGTGTGTGTGTCGGTCTGTTGTGTGTGTCGGTCTGTTGTGTGTGTTGGTCTGATGTGTGTGTCGGTCTGATGTGTGTGTTGGTCTGTTGTGTGTGTGGTCTGATGTGTGTGTCGGTCTGATGTGTGTGTTGGTCTGTTGTGTGTGTCGGTCTGATGTGTGTGTTGGTCTGTTGTGTGTCGGTCTGATGTGTGTGTTGGTCTGTTGTGTGTGTTGGTCTGATGTGTGTGTTGGTCTGATGTGTGTTGGTCTGTTGTGTGTGTCGGTCTGATGTGTGTGTTGGTCTGTTGTGTGTCGGTCTGATGTGTGTGTTGGTCTGATGTGTGTGTTGGTCTGATGTGTGTGTTGGTCTGTTGTGTGTCGGTCTGATGTGTGTGTTGGTCTGTTGTGTGTGTTGGTCTGATGTGTGTGTTGGTCTGATGTGTGTGTTGGTCTGATGTGTGTTGGTCTGATGTGTGTGTTGGTCTGATGTGTGTGTTGGTCTGATGTGTGTATTGGTCTGATGTGTGTTGGTCTGTTGTGTGTGTTGGTCTGATGTGTGTTGGTCTGTGTGTGTGTTGGTCTGATGTGTGTGTCGGTCTGATGTGTGTGTGGTCTGATGTGTGTGTTGGTCTGATGTGTGTGTTGGTCTGATGTGTGTGTTGGTCTGTGTGTGTGTTGGTCTGATGTGTGTGTTGGTCTGATGTGTGTGTTGGTCTGATGTGTGTGTTGGTCTGATGTGTGTGTTGGTCTGATGTGTGTGTCGGTCTGATGTGTGTGTCGGTCTGTTGTGTGTGTCGGTCTGTTGTGTGTGTTGGTCTGTTGTGTGTGTTGGTCTGTTGTGTGTGTTGGTCTGTTGTGTGTGTTGGTCTGTTGTGTGTGTTGGTCTGTTGTGTGTGTGGGTAGATGTGTGTGTCGGTCTGTTGTGTGTGTCGGTCTGTTGTGTGTGTTGGTCTGATGTGTGTGTTGGTCTGATGTGTGTGTCGGTCTGATGTGTGTGTCGGTCTGATGTGTGTGTGTCGGTCTGTTGTGTGTGTCGGTCTGTTGTGTGTGTTGGTCTGATGTGTGTGTCGGTCTGATGTGTGTGTTGGTCTGTTGTGTGTGTCGGTCTGATGTGTGTGTCGGTCTGATGTGTGTGTTGGTCTGTTGTGTGTGTCGGTCTGATGTGTGTGTTGGTCTGTTGTGTGTCGGTCTGATGTGTGTGTTGGTCTGTTGTGTGTGTTGGTCTGATGTGTGTGTTGGTCTGATGTGTGTTGGTCTGTTGTGTGTGTCGGTCTGATGTGTGTGTTGGTCTGTTGTGTGTCGGTCTGATGTGTGTGTTGGTCTGATGTGTGTGTTGGTCTGATGTGTGTGTTGGTCTGTTGTGTGTCGGTCTGATGTGTGTGTTGGTCTGTTGTGTGTGTTGGTCTGATGTGTGTTGGTCTGTTGTGTGTGTTGGTCTGATGTGTGTATTGGTCTGATGTGTGTGTTGGTCTGATGTGTGTTGGTCTGATGTGTGTTGGTCTGAGGTGTGTGTTGGTCTGATGTGTGTTGGTCTGAGGTGTGTGTTGGTCTGATGTGTGTATTGGTCTGATGTGTGTTGGTCTGATGTGTGTGTTGGTCTCATGTGTGTGTCGGTCTGATGTGTGTATTGGTCTGATGTGTGTTGGTCTGTTGTGTGTGTTGGTCTGATGTGTGTATTGGTCTGATGTGTGTTGGTCTGATGTGTGTGTTGGTTTGAGGTGTGTGTTGGTTTGAGGTGTGTGTTGGTCTGAGGTGTGTGTCGGTCTGATGTGTGTGTTGGTCTGATGTGTGTGTTGGTCTGATGTGTGTTGGTCTGATGTGTGTGTTGGTCTGATGTGTGTATTGGTCTGATGTGTGTTGGTCTGATGTGTGTGTTGGTCTGAGGTGTGTGTTGGTCTGTTGTGTGTGTTGGTCTGTTGTGTGTGTTGGTCTGATGTGTGTGTCGGTCTGATGTGTGTGTTGGTCTGATGTGTGTGTCGGTCTGATGTGTGTGTTGGTCTGATGTGTGTGTTGGTCTGTTGTGTGTGTTGGTCTGATGTGTGTGTTGGTCTGATGTGTGTGTTGGTCTGATGTGTGTGTCGGTCTGATGTGTGTGTCGGTCTGTTGTGTGTGTTGGTCTGTTGTGTGTGTTGGTCTGATGTGTGTTGGTCTGATGTGTGTGTTGGTCTGTTGTGTGTGTTGGTCTGATGTGTGTGTCGGTCTGATGTGTGTGTCGGTCTGTTGTGTGTGTTGGTCTGTTGTGTGTGTTGGTCTGATGTGTGTGTCGGTCTGATGTGTGTGTCGGTCTGATGTGTGTGTTGGTCTGATGTGTGTGTTGGTCTGATGTGTGTGTCGGTCTGATGTGTGTGTTGATCTGTTGTGTGTGTCGGTCTGATGTGTGTGTTGGTCTGTTGTGTGTCGGTCTGATTTGTGTGTTGGTCTGGTGTGTGTGTTGGTCTGATGTGTGTGTTGGTCTGTTGTGTGTCGGTCTGTTGTGTGTGTTGGTCTGGTGTGTGTGTTGGTCTGATGTGTGTGTTGGTCTGTTGTGTGTCGGTCTGATGTGTGTGTCGGTCTGATGTGTGTGTCGGTCTGATGTGTGTGTTGGTCTGATGTGTGTGTTGGTCTGTTGTGTGTCGGTCTGATGTGTGTGTCGGTCTGATGTGTGTGTTGGTCTGATGTGTGTGTTGGTCTGTTGTGTGTGTTGGTCTGATGTGTGTGTTGGTCTGATGTGTGTGTTGGTCTGATGTGTGTGTTGGTCTGATGTGTATGTCGGTCTGATGTGTGTGTTGGTCTGTTGTGTGTGTTGGTCTGATGTGTGTGTTGGTCTGATGTGTGTGTTGGTCTGTTGTGTGTGTCGGTCTGATGTGTGTGTT